TATCGGTTCAGGCGCCGTTTAGGCACCGGTACCGTTTTAAAAGTATCGATTTGGCACCGGTATCGCAAAAAACCCAATCGATACCCAACCCTATAGTATTAAGCCTCAAATATCAACTATACATCGGATTGGTTTCTTCTTTAAATTATAAAAAAAAGTTTTTCTTTAAATTATCAAAAATATGAATGGTATTATAGTGTTGTACTAAAACTAAAATTAAAACAATGGAAAAACCCTTAAGATAACATTTAGAAAGAAAAAAAAGCATCTTAAGCACGCAGAATAACGTAAGTGGACTTTGAACGATTAATTACCACTTTGAACGATTACGTAATTGTGGCATCCATAATTGTAATCGCTATTAGAAATTCGATTAATTGTGCAGCCCTAATTAGCAATGAAATTCTGGTGCACAGGTGCTGTTCCACCTGGTGTTCTCAGCTGTAACTCGAAGGTGTTATTTAAAAGGAGCCTTGTCATCATATCCAGGGGAGCAGTTGTCAAACATTTATGTCTGATTTCAGAAAACACGTCCAAGACGATGACTTCAGTGGAATGCACTGAGCCACAAAAAATTACGAGCACAAAGGACAGCAATGGTGGGTATTGATGTCATTTCTGAGACTGATAACTTGCAAGAGATTGAGCATCGTAAAAAAAAAAAAAAAAAGGACATTTGCAATCAATAACAGTCAAATATTCTGAGTGGTTTAGCATAGTGCATGACCAACTGCTGATTTCTTCCTAAGTGGCAACCTGATGTACTCTTAGGAGCTTTAGAATACAAATGTTATTGTTATTATTATTATTATTATTATTATTAATTTATCTGCTTTTTTCCCTTCTAGTTCCTCATTCATGCTGCTGTCTTGAGCTGAAACAAAAGGTTGGGAAAGCTGCAAACACAAGTCATGACTTTTTTGGAAAGCGAATGCAAGCCAATGTGCATAGTTTACACATACATATGACTTTGTTTTATTTATTTTAATAGTCTTTTCCCTCTTTCAGATTGACCATATTGAGAAATTGATTCTCCTCCTCGTGAAACAAGTTGGTGGAACCAAATCGTAACTCGTCAAGATTTTCAGTGTCAAGTTCAAAACAAATAACTGCTGCCCCGGACAGTTTTCTTTTCTTCCATCAGTGAAATGTCGTCTTTTTGAGTTAATGTATCAGTGGTGTCAAACATGTTTGTTGTCTTTGTCAGCACTTGAGAAAATAGATTTTATACTCTGAGAGGCATGATTATTTTATTTTTATTTTATTGCACCAATGTTATTGTTGGTGTTGTTTTATTATATACAATGTTTATTGCTTTTATTTTCAGTGGAAAAACTATTAACCGTGAATTATGCAGCATTGCCATTCAGTTTTTTCTTCATCAAAGGCTAGTTTTGTTCAAGTGAGCCTTTTCATGCAGATTAAAAATACTTAAGTTTGTTTGAAGCCATTTGTTTTTATTTATCCACCTAGTATGACTGACTTTCTTGTGTGAAACAGTCTAGCCACATAGTTTGGTGACTGGAGTCAACCGTTCCCTTTCATTTTCATTGTATGAAGAAAGATGCTTTTAACGTGAAGGAGACGGTAATATCTTATGTGTTCCATGAAAGAAAGACCTTTAATTTTGAAACCTCGGTGGGAATTTAAATTTTTGGGTGAATTATGCCTGTAGTTAATGCAAGACAAGTTGGTGACACTTAATATCTTGAGAGAATTTGGGTCTTGACTTGAGTTGAACTGAGGATGAAGTCAGTACGGAAGTAGCTCAGCACCCTCTCTGAGGTACAGCACTAGAGAGACACTTCAGTAACGTTACCTGCGGCGGGAACAGGACGGTCGTGTCACTGAGGTGAGATATTTACTCCTGAACTATCAGCGTTTTTAAAGTAACTAAATGGAAATGTTTGAAGATTTCTCTGAGCTAAAGTCTTGTTATTCCGAAACCTTAAATGCAAAACCGTCGGTGCAGCGGCATTGGCCATTTAATGTATTACAAGAGTGATATTTTTTCTTCTGCGCTGTCTCGCGCTTTATTACTGTACTACAATGTATTGTGTTAATAGCAAAGTTTAACCGCGTCATTTAATTTCACGCTTTCGGAGATTAATGTAACGAAAAATGTTTGATTCACGTTCTCTGCATTAAATCGACCTCGTTGCTTAAATCAAAAACGTCTAGAAAATATTTAGGCTGGTTGCTTATAAACATTGTGCGACAATGGGGGAAAAAACAATGCAGTGGATTTTTATTAGATAAAATTTTGGTGTAATCGAATTTACACTAACATGCATAAAAGAATGTAATATGCACATATCTAAATTACGCTTAATATTGAATCAAACGATTACAGGATAATACAAATGAACCAACTGCAATTCTCGGCTACGTGAATGACGTCGTTCCCTTTAAAACCAGTTAAACTCCAAAATGACGTTAAAAATGTTTATGCTTCCCATTTTTTTTCATTTCCTCCATTGTATGTGTGCAGGGTAAACATTTGAATTTGAGTATGTTAAATTTAGGCGAAAATACCAAAAAACGCCCTGAGCTTAAGTGGTTAATTAATTAATATAATGTTAGCTAATGATGCTTTAGTAACAAATACATTAAAACAATTTCTCATAACATACCAATGTGACTAGATGTCTTAAAATTGTTTTCTGCATAATGATTGATGCGTGACCAAATCTATACAAATGGATTATTGTCACAAATGACTAGGCTAATAAGTGAGCTAAATAAGGATCTCAGGAGGAGGCACCTAAATGCTGCTTTCATCCTCAGCTTCTCTTCTCATTTACTGTCACTCATGTGATTATAGAAGTGTCTAGTGTTGCTCAGGTCATTTGCTCCCTGCATAGGGATCAAGCAGCTGCATACACCTGTGTCTTGTCCATTAACAAGCATTGCCTTTTAAGCTCTGCAGTGTCAAATAAATATATTTAGCGTGTTTAAAAATATCATACAACAGTATGAAAGCTGATGTAGCCTGCAACTCAAAAGGATATTGATTTGATTAAATGGTTTTCAGTGCATTTATAGTGACTCAAAGGTTATTGGCACTGTGAGTTGCTGTGCATGAAACTATAGAATGTTTTTTTTTTTTAGCTTTGACTTGATTGTGGCCTAATAAAAAAGACTATTTAGTTAATAGTTAAGGTAGAGATTTTCAAACTGGGCTCCTCAGGGGCCTGCATGGAGAGTGTGGAATGGGTAAAAGAAAAAATATTGAAATTGATCCAATTTAAATACAAATTTATATCAAAAATGTACATAAAATAAAAATAAATTACCGTACATAAAAATATATAACTACCTTTTAGATTTTAAGATTGGGGTTCCTCACACAATGATGGTCATATTTGAGGGTCTGTAGCATCCAAAAGATTGAAAACCTCTGAATTAGGGCATCTTGGGTGAGGAGTTGTTCATAGATAAAGTAGGAAGTAATTAAAGTGAAAGCTTAAGCTTATGCTGCGTTCAAGTCCTCCTGGGACGTTTGTACTTATGAGTTGACAAGTCGTAATTACGACGTCAGGTGTGTTCAAGTCAGTTTAGTCGGCACAAGATGGCGGTGTACCTTCTTTTAATAAATTACAAGAAAATACAACAGGGTCTGCATTTTTTACTTGGATTTCAGCTGCGTAACAAGAACATGACCAATTTAAGTTTATAGGACAACTAAACTATCAATTTAAACAAAAATTTAGCGTCAACTACAGACGTTGCATCCATTGATTCCGCCATGTTTCTCATTGACACGCCCCAACTCGGAATCTCTGGGCTTAAAGAAAATTTCGAGTTTCCCACTCGTAATCACGACTTTGTGGTGGCGTTCATGTGCGTTCAACTCGTAAATACGAGTTAACTCTGCTTATAGAAATTGAAGAGCAAAGAATTCGCAACAGGTATGTTTTGCGTTTTTAATATTTTTTTTAGACCAGGATCCCAGTATAACCGATTTTCAGCATAAACAAACGCTAAAATACAGAGATTAAAAAAAGCTGTTAGCTAAATGCAACATGCAATATGGCAAATCAAAAGATTTTTCACCTATAGGTGCAAAAATTCTAGCATTTTTTTACTTGGATTTCATTAACTAGCTGCGTAACAAGAACATGACCAATTTAAGTTTATAGGACAACTAAACTATCAATTTAAACAAATATTTACCATCAACTACAGATGTTGCATCCATCGATTCCGCCATGTTTCTCATTGACACGCCCCCAACTCGGAAACTCGGGGCGTAAAGAAAATTTCGAGTTTCCCACTCGTAATAACGACTTTGTGGTGGCGTTCATGTGCGTGCAACTCGTAAATATGATCTATCCGACATGACTTGAACGCACCATTAGACCAGTGAGGAATGTATGAAATTGTGAATAAAGAAGAATTAGGAGAGCAAAGCCAGAGCTTTTACTGTGCTGCTCTGACCCTAGATGGCTCCACTTGTTACACAGACCGAGACGGGTTGTTAGTCAAGGTTATCGTATGGCAGGTTTTTGAGGTGCTCTAAGAGTCCAGATGATTATCAGCCTCAATGGAGGCCCTCTTAAATGGCACCTGAACAAGTGCTGTCTTCTTCCTGCTGTTCATTCACAAGCAGGAAATGCACCCTATCAGGCCGAGATTTTATCAGATTCCCTTCGATTACTGTAGTCCAACTTTCTAAAGAGTCTCATAAAGAGTCCTGTGTGGCTTCTTTTAAGAATGTCAGGTGGCATTCCTAACATTTCCTCTCTAGAGTGGTACTCTGTGGGAATCTTTAGAAGTCCAATCGTGAGTGAGACGATCAAAGAGTGACTTCACAGGTCAGAATTGCCTCAGTACACACTTCATTTCATTCCAAAACTGATAACCACTCTGCCTTTAAAACTACTCTTAACACCTGGAACCTGACCAATCAGATACAACAGCGCAGACATGACACACGCACACACACACACACATTTCGCTTGTGCTCTTTAAATGTCTCTCAAACACATTTGAAGAAAAGATTCCACAGAGTGCACACTATCATGAATAGACTTGTACTGTTATCTACTTTTATCAACTACAAAGACTACATTGAGGAAGGTTTGTAAACTGGAAATAGCTATGATGTTTGTAGGTGTTATTAAGTTGCATTATGGATGTGTCTATGATACCTATGGTTTCTATAAAACTTGTACTCAACAGAAGTCCGGGGCTTGATATGACTTTTTAAAATGTTTTTGAAAGAAGCCTCTTACGCTCACCAAGGCTGCATTATTTGATAAAAAAAAAAAAAGAAATATTGTGAAATATTATTGCAGTTTAAAATAACTTTTCTATTTTAATATATTTTAAAATGTAATTTATTCCAGTGATGGCAAAGCTTCAGTGTGACATGATCCTTCAGAAATCATTCTGATATGCTGATTTGCTGCTCAAGAAACATTTCTTAATATTATCAATGTTTAAAACAGCTGTGCATTTATTTGAAATAGAAATCTTTTGGAACTTTAGAAATGTCATTTTGATCTATTTAATGCATCTTTGCTGAATAAAAATATTAAATTATTTATTTAAAATAAATTGTACTGACCTCAGGCTTTTGAACGTGTCATCTTGTGGCTAATGCATAATTAATTTGGAAATACTGTAAGTAGCTAATTATGGTAGTCTGAGCATGAGCCAGTTCTTTTATTTAAAAGTGTTGGTTTTGGATGGTTGTTGGTTTGACTTTGATTGCAGAGTAGAACAAGTAGACGTTGAGATTGAATCCAGTGGCCCATATAGCGGTGAATAATTCTCCTGTCTGGTGCCGCCAGTTGGCATTTGTCAACATGTTTAATTTAATAATAAAGTTTGGCTCTTAAAGATGTGAACTTTGACCTTAAGCTCTGGGAATGTGGCACAGGAGGATTTTGTGGCTGCAGGGAGACTTAATCTGAGATGAACAGTATCATGCTGTTTTCTCCACACATCACTGGGCTCTCCCTCCACTTTTCTCAAAGCACAGACGGGTAAATGATTAGTCTGATGTGATGACAGTTTGACTGGTTTAGATTTGAGCTTGCCCGCTACCAGGGGGAGAGCTAGGAACAATGTTTGTGGTTCTGTAATGCCTACTCATTGGGCTCAGTGGACAGGCGGCCCACCCATTAAGATTTTGTCATGAGTCCCTCGAGTTGTATTGATGGTCTTGACTTCTGTCAGTCATTTTATTATGTATAAGGGTGCAGACTTTATAGACCACTGCTACCTGAGTCCCTCAGCTATTAGTTGGTTGGGTTTGACCTCAAAATAGCCCTCAGACTGGCTCTTTCCCATCCCATGTTCCTTGCTTGTCCGACCAGTGCCTCTGAGGGTCAATAAAAATTGCTGCTC